AAGTTACTGTTACAAGTAAGTTTTTTCACTCTGTTGTTTTTTTGTTAATCAAAAGAAAAAAAAATTCTTGTCAAATTTAGAAACGCCAACATTTATTCGTAAACCTCAAGATTTAACAATTGCAGATAAATCTGAAGCAGTTTTCGACTGTGAAATCGATGCATATCCAAACGCGAAAGTCTCATGGATTCGTGATGGTAAACCATTAACTACTAAAGAAGGTGTTGAAATTCAAGCACAAGCTGATAAAGGTCTTTATACACTTCGTATTCCTCAAGTTGATACAACCAAACATATGGGTACAATAATATGTCGTGCAGAAAATGCTATTGGTACTACTGAACATTCACTTCAATTAAATGTTACAACAGCTCCAACATTAAAAGCACAATTAAAAGATCTTGAAATTTTACGTGGACAAGATGCAACATTTACTATTGATGTTCAAGGTTATCCAATACCAGAAATAAATTGGATGCGTGGAAATGAAACACTTATTGAATTAAGTGATAAATATACTTGGGCCGATGATCAACATCGTCAATTAATAATTCATAATGTTCAAGTCGAAGATGAAGATGAATATAATGTTCGAATACATAATGAATTTGGTGAAGTTACAAGTAAAGCTAAACTGTCATGTCTAAGTATGTTATTTCGCTAAATAAATTTTTCTTTTTCTTTAATTGTATACTTCTTTTTTTTTAATCTTAAGTTCCACCAAGTATATCACCAGCTACCATTGATGATACACTTTTACAACATGGTGACGAAATTGAATATCAATTTGAAATTGAAGGTCGTCCACAAGTTGATGTCACATGGTTGAAAAATGGTAAAGAACTTAAATTAAATGAAAATTCAAATTATATATTCACATCTGATAAAGAAAATAATAAAGAATCATTTAAAATTATTAAAGCTGATGGTGATGATCAAGCACGTTATACATTACAAATAAAAAATAAAGCTGGAAAAGCAGAAGTAAATATAAATACAATTGTTAAAGCAAATCTACAATTTACTAAAACACTTTCTGATGTTGCTACACAAGTTGGACAACCAGTTGCATTTTCATGTGAATGTTTTGGTTTACCAAAACCAACATTAATTACATGGTATTTTAATGATATCGAAATAAAATCATCAGCTAAATATAAAATTGAATCAAAATATCCATTAATAAATTTAACTATCAATAAAACAGATTTAATTGATATTGGTAAATATCGTGTTGTTATTACAAATGGTGAACAAACAATTGAAAATCAAGCTAATTTACTTGTACAAACAAAACCAAAATTAGAAGGTAAACCACAAGATGCACAACCAATTATTGAAGAATCAGCTAGAATACAATGTAAATTTTCTGGTTCACAACCATTTAATGTAACTTGGTTAAAGAATGGTGAAGTATTGACTTTACCCAATGATAATATTGAAGTTATTAGTGAAGCTGATACGGGTATTCAAGCACTTGTTTTTAAACATGTTGACATTGATGATAAAGCTAGTTATACAGTTCAAGTTGCAAATATGGTTGGACAAGCTGAAGGAAAAATGAATTTAACACCTAAAGGTTTGTTTAAAAAAAAACAGAAGTATATTGATTTATTAGAAGAAAAAGTGTACTGATTAGTTATTATGATTGGAGAAGAGAAATTCGTTTGAGATTTAAACAATCATTTAAATATGAAATTTGATTTTCAGTTTCAAATTGACCTTAATCTTACACTTGAGTTCCTATTTGAATATATGCACCAAATGAAAGTAAGTGTTCGGTTGATTTGAGCGTTATGGTCTAAAACAAATAGATTCGTACATACATGCAGATCAGAGATATACACCGTCCGCGCCTTAATTACGCTAGCTGTTAGAGGTTTTCTATTAAAAAGAATGTACATCAAATGCTGAAAAGTTAAGAGAAGAAATTTAATCATTGACAGATGCATACCTTTCAAGATATCATTAGTTTCATTACCTCATTTGTTAAGTAAGTATAAATTAAATCGCAATCAATATTGATTAAAAATCATCCTGATAATCAAATTCAAAACTCAGTGAATTTAATTGTGACGATCATAATATTTAAATTCATCTTCAATTTAAACTTGCGTAAATTTAACTATAAAATAAGTTAAAATGGAAACAAGCGCTCTATAAGTGTTCGCTCATAGTATTTTCAACTTCATATTGTTGTTCATATGTAAGTGCTCAAAAATGACACACGGTTTTCAAGTAGTATTATAATGTAACAAATATAAAATTCTTCAATTAACTTTAGAGTAGTAGTGGCGGCCTCTGCCACTAGTTTAGGATTTCTTAGATGGTCAAAGTATTTTGAATTTGAAAATTATATATTTTTCTACCGAGGATTTTCTCGAATGTGAGAATGATTGAATTCTGAAAGTTCAGACTCAGTATTAGGGAG